TCTGCTTCAGCCATTTTCACTTGATGGAAACCCTACTTTAAGTCCAGAGTTGAAAACACAACTGGTTCCAATTAGGGCATCAAAAGTATCATCAATTCTTGGCAGTGGGTCCTTTTTGGTTATACTGTTAAGAGTCCTGAAGTCCACACAACAAGGTTGGGTCCCATCCTTCTTCTGGACTAACATGATGGGAGCTGACCAGGGACTATCTGATTTCTTGACTATCCCTTCTTTAATTAGGTCATCCATGACCTTCTCCATCTCTTGTCACTTTGTCAGAGCAACTCTCCTTGGAGGGATCTTTATTGGACGGTGATTGCCTGTGTTTATTCTGTGATCCACAAGGTCTGTGCAGCCAAGGTCATGACCTCCTTTTGAAAAGACATCTGCATAATTCACCAAGAGTTCTCTAACCTGAAGAGCCTGTGATGATGACAAATGGGCTATGCTCTTTTTATAGAGGTCAGTTAAATGTTCTTTATGGTTGTATTTCTTGCCTTAACATTGACTAACTCCACATCCTGGCACACACCCAACAATGCCCCTTCCTTAAGTGTCTGCTCACATTTAGAGAAATTGGCCACTGTTATGGTTAGTACTTGATGACCTGCCACAAGTGACCTTCCAATCTTCACGTCTGCTGGCCTGGATGGGTCTTCCACTGCTTCCACAAGCATTGGGCTTCCTTGGGAATGTTCTTTTATTCTACTCCAAATTATCTTCTCTGGCATGGGGGTATTGTAGTTGACTTAAGTGCTGTGACATGCAAATCAACAGATGCAGCAACATTTACCAGAATTTGGCCTTTGTTATTCCCAAACGTCATTTTATCAAAGTTAACTACACACTTCCTCGGTAGTAAGTAGTCCAACCCTAATATGCATGGGTTTTCAATGTCAGCCAAGTTTACTTTGTGTCTGTCCTTTATGCCCATGAGCTCAACAGTTACCCACACTGGTCCCCACAACCTTGCATTCTGTATGGCTTCTGGTACTTCTTTGTGATCTAGCACCTTGATACTCACAAGGGTTTGCTAAGATGCAGAATCTATGACAAAGTTGCACTTTTGGCCATCCAGCTTTCCTGTCACGTATACACTATGTGTGCTTGCCATTTTGCACTTAGCTGTTGGGACTTTCACAATGACGGTTGGTGGGTGTCCCTCAACACCAACCACTACTGGTTTCCCCGAGGCTGAGTTATTGGTAGTGTTCTTCTTACACTGGCTCCTCATATGTCCATGCTCTCCACAGTTCCAACAACCTTTCTGGGTAGCAGCCTTTCCTGCGGTGGCATCTTCCCTGTGTTGAAGTTGCTGGCATTGAGCTCTCTTGTGCCCAGGTTTGTTACAGTGACAGCAAAGTCCCTCAAACTTCTCTGAAACTATTCTTTTCTGGCCTTGAATCCTGATGACTGTACCAACCTTGGTACCTCTGTGCTGGACTTAACGTAGAATTCAAATTCAAGAGCTCTGGCCATTGCATCCTGCATAGTAGAGGGGTGTGCTTGTTTTACTTGTATCTTCAGTTGTGGATTGTCCAAGACATCTACAAACTGATCCCTAAGCAACAGCTTGAGGACATTTGGTGGTGCAGTTGGGTAGGCCTTGTGTGCCATACTTTCCAAATCCTGTAACAGCTCTTGCAGGCTCTCCCCTTTAGCACAGACTCTCGTCCTAAACTAGCCCTGTAGACTTTGGACTGATTTTGAGTTCCATACCTGAGTTCTAGAGCAGCTACCAGTGCTTTAGCACAGACTCTCGTCCTAAACTAGCCCTGTAGACTTTGGACTGATTTTGAGTTCCATACCTGAGTTCTAGAGCAGCTACCAGTGCTCTGTAGTTGTGCCTGTCATCTGCTGGCAACTGTCCAAGTATTTCCAGTGATTGTCCCTTCAGGCTCATTGTCAGGTTCACTGCTTTCTGCTCCTCTGTCCATCCATTCATTTCTGCCAGGAGCTCAGATTGTGCTCTATCTGCTTCCCATGGTGCCTTCCCATCGAATTCCTGTGACTTCCTTTGTACTAGATCACCCCTATTGCTGATACTCATGTCTGGAATGTGACTTCTGGAAGGACTGAAGATGTCTGCATTAGGGTTTAGCTGCAGGGTCTGGAAAGGGCTTCCTGTTGTCTGGGGCTGATTAGGTCCATGTTTAATATATCCTCCCTGTGTAAAAGACAGTAAATCATCCTTTAATATATTTAATTCACTTTGAAATTTGCTAATCTTTTCCATTTATGTATGCTGGCTTTCTCTCAACTGTTGGAGACTTCCTTATTGTTTCTTTTCTTGCTCCAGTTGCCACCTGTGCTGGTTTTCTTGCCACTGCTGTATTCTCTCTTTTTGTTTCTCTTCTTTCTCCTCCAACCACTGCTGTAGTCTCTCTTTTTGTTTATTTTCTTTCTCCTCCAACAACTGCTGTAGTCTCTTTTCTTGTTTATTTTCTTGTTCTTCTTGTTTCTTTTGTATTTCTTGTATTGCTGCCATCAAATCTGCTAAGTGGTAGTTTGATTTGCCACTTCTCGTTTCCATCTTTTTTCTTTCTTTTCCATCCCACTCTCTGACATCAATTTGTTATGTATCTGCTTATTTGTTAATTTCCGGTAGAAATTCTTTCTGATACAAGTCCTTTATTGATTAAACCAGTTTATTCTTTCTCGATACAAACTTTTAGTACACAGTAATTCCACAGTCAGTATGTTTCTCATCACTTTCAACTTAACAACTTTTATAATACACGCTATAAATTACAGCGATTCACAGTTTCGATAACTTCGCTCTCTACGAGTACAAAACACACACTAGCTCGACACAGAATTGTAAATTACCCAAAACTTATCGTAACTACTGTTCGCTTTATCATATCATCTCCTGGCTTTTCTCTGCAAGGCATCTCCAAAATTCATTGACTTTCCTGATAATTCGAGAAACTCAGTCACACATGCGCCAGCAGTGTCGTGTGACTTCCACTGTCGTAACATAATCTTGTGAAATTATTTAATATGTATTTTTCTGTTTTCTTTCAGACTAAGAATATAGAACAGACCATATCAACAGGTTTTAGAGGAATGCCTTTTCCCTCGTACAATACTATTGGAACTACAGCAATTATATTTTCCTTGTACTTGTTTAACCAATAATAAAGCTAATTTTTCTTTACTATACATTGTCCTGGACTTTATAAATATGTCTTGCAAAAAAAAACATACCTATTGGCTTTCATTACAAAAAAAAGAATTAATTTAGTCAAGCCTGACAGATTTTAAGTGGACTTTTTTAAAACTTACATTGTAACTGAGAACATTTGCAGAAAAAAAATTTTAAGTTTCTTTCCTCCTTCTCTCTTTTTTTTTTTTTCTACACACTGGCTGGTAGGATACAAGCAATCATGCACTGTTATTTGCATGTGTATTGAAAAAATAAGTTTTTAATATATTATTTTTTAATTTATGCTTTTCAGTATTGTTTATTTTACACTTTATGGGTGAAAAATCTGCAACAAAAAAAAGTTAAAAAATCTCAAACAAGTAACCAGTCAAAAAAATATCTATAACAAGTAAAAGATCTATCTCTTGCTAGTAAATGCCCAAAAAGTAACCAACAAATAACAAGTCCAAAAATTTGCCAGCAAGAAAACAAGTCCAAAAATCTCCAACAAATAACAATTCCAAAAGACTTCCAATGAGTAACTAGTAAAAAAAAATCTCCAACAAGTAACAAACCTCCAGCAAGCAACAAGGCCAAAAAATCTCCAACAGGCAACAAGTCCAAAACATCTCTAGCAAGCAACAAGTCCAAAAAATCTCCAACAACTAGAAAGTACAAAAAAATCTCCAACAACTTAAAGTCCAAAAAATCTTCAGCAAGTGTCAAGTTCAACAAAACTCTAGCACACAACAAGTTCAAATATTTCCAACAAGTAAAACTCCTGCAAACAACAAGTTAAGAAAACCTCCAAAAAGTAACAAGTCCCACAAATGCAAACTGTATTTATGAAACAACTATGGCCCCACTAATGTTATATTGTATGTTTAAGTCCCCCTATTTAATAGCCCTTGACTCTTGACCCATGACCATCAAAAGTTAATCAGGTCTAAAACTTTGTATATAGTACCTGTTATGCAAGTTTGTCAAAATCCAGCTATCCAATACTGAGATATCTTGTCCACAAGATAGGGAAGGACATATAAATAGACAAATAAACAGGGATAAATTTGTATGCTCCACACAAAGTAGTGAAAGCATAAAAGAACTTCCAACAAGTAATAAGTTACAAGTAAAAGTTCCAAAATTAAGTCCAAAAACCTCCAACAACTAAAAAAAAAACGCACCGAAATCTGCATGTTTAGCATATCTACTCAACAGCCCTGTACATAAATTTACTATCAAACCTTTATTTTGTTCTTTATAAAAGAATGGTATTTGAGCTTTTGATCTTCTTACAGCACTACTATTACTAACATAATGTTCAGTATAGTGTTTATCTCATACCACTTGTGTAAAGATTTTAACCCACAACTGTCTCTCATAAATCCTTTCTTCAAAATTAAATCAGTAAATGCCTATTCCATATTACATTTCTTTTCAATGTATTAGTGCTATTTTAACTTAGCAATCGAAGCTTTAAATATCTTCGTCATAAAATAAAAAATAAATCACTTGCAAGTTGCAGACTTTAGTTATAACAATGTTACTCCAGTTGACGAATCTCATCAAACGTTCTTGTTCATTATTTTTACTACGGTAGGCCTAACTTAAGTCTAAAGGATTTGAATTGGGTCAGGAAAAATAATCATATTTTTAAATAATAAAAATAAGTACCCTGTCAGTATAGCGAAAAAACTCGTTTATTATTGGGTAAATTGGGTATTATTTGTATGGTTACAACACTGCACTAGTTATACGATGCCAGGGTAGCCTGTTACAATAAAGTATAACTTTAATTAATAGTACGTGTATCCGATAATTAGGTTTTCAATATAACTTTTGTTAAACTTACCTGCATGAAATACTAAGTTCGACTTTAGTTGTTGGTACGGAGGCTACACCTGGTTGAAAAGGCTGAGACATATAAGTTGCCATATTATAAAATAAAATGCTTGAAATCAACGTTTTCTGTTTTTATACACTAACGATTACGCTTTCCTATGCTACTTTCTAATATTAGCTAACCCTAACTGTTTTATTTCCGTATTGTGTTTTGCAATAGCAGACGAAACTTCACGATTCCTTGGTATTCTCATGTTCAGAACATTGTGATTAACAATAGTTTCTGACAGATGGGTAAACATTTTAAAATACCTTGATTCAAAAGTGTATTAAGTTAGTTACGTAAGCAACAAAAATGTTATAATTTTTAATACTAACAATAACTGTAAAATATATGTCTATATTTTATTTATGACAGATGTAAAGTTTGTTTGTTTTTAATTATGCCCAAAAACACAAGGGCTATCTGTGCTCTGCCCACCACGGGTATCAAAACCCGGTTTCCAGCGTTGTAAGTCCGCAGACATACCGCTGTGCCACTGGGGGGCCAAGTGTAAAGAACGCATAAAAATTATTGTTTGACTAAGCATCTTACAATCGACATTCACAATTTTACATTGTTTAACTCCTGCAGTTGGATGTATTATTTTTGTATGTAAAGCTAGGTTGTCCCTTCTTAATGAAGCGTTATTGTTATTCAGACTTGTTTTAAGAGATTTAACTTATACATTTAGAGTGGTATTTTAATTCAGAGGGGATTTCATTTAAACTTTTAGTTGTTGTTGTTTTTTTTTTTTCTAGTAAACACCGGCACTCACTCTGAACTAATTAAGGGTCTCTCGCCCTATCTCTCTCTCCAGTTTTACGCACACATTGCAAACACTTGCTTGTGTTTTATCTTGTACCGTGACTGTGGTTGTTTGACAAAGATATCGACGGTGTATTTTTCTATCGTGTCTTTCTTTGAAAGTAACTCATACTCTGTAGCAGTGTATTTTTAGGATATACCATTTTGCAGGCCCTGTCTGTCTCCTCTAATGGAAATCCACATAACTGAAAATACTGTTACGACAGC